GTAATTTTGCTTTATTGGTTTGAGGGGAGGGATTTTTTTTTTCTTTCAAGAGTAAGAGCATTTGCTTAGAGGGAGCGCTCAGTGGGCTGGCATGCTTGTTCTGCACGTATGAGTTGTGGGTTTGATCCCTGGCATGGCATGATCCCCAAGCACTGAGCTGAGAGTAGTCCCTGAAAATTGCCAGATATGACCCAAGAACCAGACCAAACCAGGATAAAACCCAGAAAGCAGAAAGAATGAGGTTATTTAAACATTATTTAATTTTGCCAGACTAACTTTGCACTCGTGTTTTGTTTTATCATACTATTAAAATCATCCCTATTCCAAGTTGTAATTTTTGTAGTTGTATTCATGGAGATCTTACATCATTTTAGATCCTTCCAGATTGGTCACAAGTCAGATTGGATAAAAATCTTAGGTTCCCGGGACCCCCCCCACACACACACACACCTCTACCCCCTTCACTTGATGAATTGATATCCCATTACTCATCAGTTTGCTAGAGCAGGCGCCAGTAACATCTCCATTCATCCCAGTCCCGTGCTAGTGTAGCCCAATGGTGTCTCTTGTTCCAGAAACACGAAGAGCCTCAAACCGTTCTTGACTAAGAAGTCTGACCACATCGTAGGTGGGCAACCACGCGATCTTTTGACATCCTGTGGAATCCAGTCGGTAATGGCTCTAGTCTAGGTCATCTCCAAATTGCATTACATGTCCAGCCCATCTGATTTTTGACGCCTTGGCAAATGAGACAACTCCCTGATTCTCGATCATCAACAGAGGTCAGAACTCTGGATTCCTTCTCTCATTTGAGTGAAGTGTGATACTCCAAGCGTAGCTCTTTGGATTCCTCTTTGGGAGACACGAATAGCATTCTCATCCTGTTTTCGTAGGGCCCAGGTCTCTGAGGCATATGTTAATGCAGGAAGAATAGTGGAGTCGAAGTGATGTGCCCAGAACTGGAGGTTCTTCATCCTCTTAGCTATTTCTTCGACGCTCTTGAAGGCATTCCATGCCACTCTCTTCCTCCTGCGCAACTCAGGTGCCAGGTCATTTGTCATGTTGAGTTCTCGACCTAGGTACACATACCTGCTGCATTCAGAGATGTTCAAACCATGCGAGCAAGCCGGGTTCCAAAAAGGATTGAGCACAATCGACCATATCCACATGATAACCAAGCTCATTGAGGTTTCTCAGGAGTTCAAGATGCCACTCTGTCTAACGTTCATTGATTTAAAGAAGGCCTTTGAGTCTGTTGAGACTGAAGCGGTCATAGAAACCCTAGCCAAACAGGGCATTCAGACTCAATACATCAGGATCCTCCATGCTTCATGAGCTGTATTACGGATTCACCTCCAGGATCTCACCATTCTACAAGGAAGTGATCATTGACGTCAAGAGAGGGGTTTGGCAGGGCGATACCTTTTCACCGAAACTCTTCAGTGCCACCCTCAAGAACGTCATGCAATGATTGGAATGGGAAGGAATGGGAGTGAAGATAGACGGTCGGCAATTACACCACCTCCGCTTTCTGATGACATCATTCCAATAACACCAAACATTAGCCAAGTGGCACAAATGCTGGCCGACTTTGACCGTGAATGTGGAAAGGTCGGACTGCAGCTGAATCTCACGAAGACAGTGTTCATGAGAAACGCACTCGTTCCTGATGTTCTGTTCACTCTCAACAGAACGAACATCTCTGAATGCAGCCCGTACTCTCTAGTTAGGTTCAATTCAGTTCATTTGCCAGAATGACTCTCAGGGAAACATTTGACTTGCTAAATTGCTGGTTTATTCTAAAAGCTGTAATTGGGAGAGCAGCCTCTAAGGAGAGATACGGGTGGCGGGGCGGGGAGGGGAAGTGCCCTTGCTCTTCCTGCACCCCATTCTTCCCCCAGTATCCATGCCTTCCCCTGTCAGGGCCCAGCCCTTTATGAGTTTTGGTCCCAGTTGATGGATTCGGTATTAATCACCTCCTGCAGGCACTCTCCTGCTTCTCTTCTTCCTAGAGCACACCAAGCAGGACTGCCACACGCTCATCACATGGTTGGAGCACCTGGTAACCCCCTCCCCCCCCCTCCACACACACCCTCAGAAGCTTCCAGAATTCTCTTAATCACATAAAGACACCTTCCTTATTCCCACCTCGAAAGACATTTCTCAAGTTTGGGAGAGCAGTGAGCTTGGGACCGGTGATGAAGACCAAATACGTATGTTTTATAAATCACAGGATTTTAACAGATGATATAAATTACAGCTGCAAAACACACACGAGGGCTTTCCCATTATTTTTAATTTCCAGGGAGATCTAGTTTCTCTCTCTAAGCTCTCTTGCTCAACAGGCAGATTTCCTCATTCTTCTCTGCTTCTTACAGGTATTTGAGGGGCCCTCAAAAGGCCTCTGATATAGTTGTATTGCTCATATTCAAAATGTTTGCATATTAGGGATCTAGGGATTAGCTTGCTGTCTCAATATGGCCATGCTTCCTCTCCTCTGGAATGGCCTAGATTCTGCCTTCACTAACAATGGCTACGACAACTTTGAGCTTTATTTTCCCTCTTTTGTTATTTTAAACCTTAGGTGTCTAGTTAAATATTGGCAGAGTTTAATTTTTGTAGTTATTTCTTGGTTCCCTTTTCTTTCTATCCAACCTATATTTGAATGTGCTTTAAATATATAAAAAAAAATTTTTTTACCAATTCTTAAGAAGTATGTCATTACTTCCCATATATGCTGGAGTGACACAAAGGAGAAGTCAGCATTACAGGCCAAAAGAGATGCCATTTTATAGGACTCTTGCCTTCAGAGTTTCTGTTTCCTTCAAATCTCATGGGTCTCCTGTAGATCGTATTACTGAATTAATTCCTTGCATAATGGGAAAAGAGTCTGATATGGACAAGTATGCTTCCTCCCTTCCATCAGACTCTAGCTAGTGTTTGCTCTTCCTTGGTTATCTGCCATCTTCTCCATTTTAAGGGAATTTTAATACAGCGTCTAGTTGAGCGCTCCCCCGTGACAGCACATCAGATGTTCCATGGTTCTCACATTGGTCATTTTATGGAATCTGAGCTATTAGGCTGTAATTATGATGTCTCTCAGGATCTCAGCCTTTCCTCTGTATTCACAAATTTTAATACTTCATCCTGTTACCTTCCATTCACCAGACCTCTTAATTCTTTAAAATTGACTTTCTTGAAATCCAATACTCCTGTGTCATAGAACCAGATGATCCAATTTGCTTTTTGGCAGACAACATATAAAGCTCTGCCCGTTGCAAAGTTCAACAAAAAAATACAAGTATTCTTTAGCCACTCTGGTAGAAAAGGAGAGAGAAAAATGAGTTTTATCTGAACTTTTCCATGAGACAACTTATTGCCAACTCTCTGATCTCAACTTTATCACTTTATTATAGAAGAGAAAAATAAGGACATTTAAAAGGAATATTAAATTAATAGTTCAAAGAAACTTTTGACATATGGCTTGCTATTAAATGGAAAGTTATATTCATAAAATGAAAACTACGAATATGTATAATAAACATGAAGATATGCACTCGGAGAAGCTTTGGTTTCTCAATTATGTCTTCCAGTTTTATTTCCTCTCATGTATGCAATGCTTCATTAGAAATTATTAGAAAATTTGAATGTAGAATAGAAATATGGTGCTAAATTTCTGATCAAAGGGAAGAATGTAGAAAGAGAACTAGAAACAGAAGCCCAACGCTATTCTAGCATTAACTTGCCCTCCAGACCCAATTCTAGGACCTCTGTTCCCCCTGGTTAACCTTAGTATAGTATCTGATTCATTCTCTCTCTCTCTCTCTCTCTCTCTCTCTCTCTCTCTCTCTCTCTCTCTCTCTCTCTCTCTCTCTTTCTCTCTCTCTCTCTTGCCCACACCCAACTATAATCAGGAATTACTCCTGGCCTTGCACTCAGGGCTCCAGGGTCACTCCTGGCAGGACTCAAGGACCATGTGTGGTGCCAGGGATGGAATCTGGGTCAGTCACATTCAAGGCAAGTGCCTTACCCCCTGTACTATGTCTCCAGTTCCTAGTTACTCATTTCCTCACAATTAACTTTAGTAAGGATTCTTCTTGACACGTAGAGCTTTTGTAAAGTATGCAGAAACAATTCACAGAAGCCATTTTACATTGGATACTTAAGACTTGGGGAAGTTGGGAGAGGTCAAAGATTAAGAAGATATGTCTGGGAGGGATATTATCCATGGTGGTGGAAAATGGGCACTGGTGGAGGGATGGGTATTTGATCATTGTATAATCAAAACCCAAGCACAAAAAATTGTAACTCTACAACTGTACCTCATGGTGTTTCACTAATAAAAAGGAAAAAAAAAGAAGATATGTCCGTGTAACCTAGTAAGATTAGAACATTGTCAGTTGTCAAATAGAAGATCAGAAATATTAAAAATAGGAAACAAAAGAACTGCCAAAAAAAATCCAAGAGTGTATGGTCAGTAACAAAAGAGATGGTGAATTATTTGCAAGAACAAAAGATAAAAGCAAAGAAATTTTTTAAAGTCCTAGGAGGCTGCTAACATGAAAATAATGAGCACATCTGAAATTTTTTAACGTTTTTTTTGTTGTCCTTGTTTGGGGTTTTTGTTTTGTGTTTGGTTTTGCTCAGGGGTTTTTTTGTTTTGTTTTGTTTTGCTCTGCACTCAGGCATCGCTCCTGGCAGGGATCAAGGGACCATATAGAGTGCCATATATCAAACATGGGTCAGCCATGTGCAGGCAAGCTCTCTGCCCACTGTACTGTCTCTCCAGCCCATGAATTTCTCAGTGATTGTTTTTTTTTTTTTGCTCTCTTTATAAATCTGGAGTTAAGAACTGAAGATAGAAAATTTTGGTTATAGAATTTGCAAACAGGCATGCAAAAAAAGGTCGTATGATTTGTCATACATACAAAGATTGTACCAGTTTAATGAAAAGTGTCCTTTAAAAAATGTGACTAATGATTTCTTATTTAATCTTTCAGCATACGCCGGCATCAAGAAAGAAGAGCAATTTTGACTCCGATTTTAACAGATTTTTCCGTTCGAATAACTGGAGCACCGGCCATCATTTTTACCAAGATAATTTCTCCTGAAAATATGCATACTGAGGTTGGAACTTCATGGAGATTTTATAGTTTAGTGAATAAAGCAACTCCTCTCCGCTTGGGAGGGGTTCTCATTGATGCAGAGTATCCATGTAATTGAAGCATCCAAAGGCTAACACAGAATAGCTTGTCCAGATTTTCACAAACATCTTGTCCAAAAGTTCACATATTGTGCTAAGCATGATATGCGCTCAACTTACTCTCCCCACTCCTCCACCATTTATCTCTGTCTAGTCAAAACAGGCTGCTGGGAATGACCTTCATGAGAGAGTATCCAGGGAGTACCTTAGTCTTCACAGCTTCCTTCTGAGAGCAGTCTACCAGTGTCCACGTTAGAATTGAGGAAAGAGAGGTCGCATGACCAGTGTGTTCCACAGTGATTGGTGGCTTCAGGCTTCCAGTCTGATGACAGAGCTATAGTGTCTCTGTACCCAGAACAGAAATGGGAACATTGCCTTCATCAAATATAATTACTATTAAAAAACAATTCTTTGTAGAAATATGTCATTCTACGAAGGTCATTCAACAAGGTCGTACGCAGTTACTAAGAAAGGTTTGGGGAAAAATAGTTGCAGATTAAATGCATTAATCAAGATCAATAAAACTTTACTTTCCTTCTTTAAGTTTCACAAAAACCATTTGACATTTACAGTAGTCCCCCAGGGAAAACCAGAATTAGGCATGATTTCTTATATACCCTCAAAAGGTGTTTGATAAAAGTTAACTATGTCTACTAATATCTTAGATTTACTTAGTAACTCAGTTGATTTAAAATACATGGAACTCCTCTTGTGGTACGTTGTTTTTATACTAATGCTGTTACGAAAATATGAATCACGACACACATTGAAATCATTTTAATGCTGACTTTATTTCCTATTTGGCTTACAAAAATGAAATATAATCACTCTAAATTGTGAATTGTGAATTTTTCCCCTGAAAATACTTTAGTTCTTTCTTTGGGGCGGGTGGTGGGCAAACCCAGTGGTGCTTAGGGCTCCTCCTGACTCAGTGCTTAGGAGTTGCTTCTAACAGTGCTCTGGGGGCCATTGGTGTTGGGAACTGAGCACAGGCCTCCTGCATGCAGGGTACGGACAAGCCCTTTGAGCTATCTCTCTAGCCCTGAAAATAGTCTGTGTGTAGCCCCAAATATTTATCTTCCATCATGAAATTCATAAACAGAAGTAACATGTCAAAGTGCTTAACAAAATACCATTAATTAACGCCTCTTCTAATTGAAGGTCTTTATTGAGAAGTTCCTGTTTCCAAGTGAAAAAAGTATAAAGCTGGTGTCAAATCTACATTTGGGGCTAACAGTACAGCAGAAAGGTGCTTGTCTTACATGCAGCCAACCTACGTTCTATCCCTGGCATCCCATATGGACCCCCAAGCACTGCCAGGAGTAACCCCTCAGCATTGCTGGGTGCGGCCCACTCAAATTATTTATCTGTTGCCTATAATTATCTCTATATTAGTTGCCCTTCATATTGTTTTGGGGGGAGGCAGCTACTCCCCACCATGCTCCAGGGACCTCGCCTTGGACTCCATCCGGCCTTTGAGATATCTCCCTGCGCTGCCTTCTAAATTCTTTTGAGTATCCAATTAATCAAGAGATCATTTAAAAATAGGCTAATGTTCTATAGAAGTAGAATTATTCTTGTTTTTTTTTTCGTGTTATCTGCACTTTCTACCAATTGTATTTTTTTTATCTTACTAATACAGCATAAGTTATTTACAAATTTTCATAGTAGGTAGCTATTGTGATCGATCCTGGATGTGCTTAGTAAAATTCTCACCCCCCCTCCCCCCAGGGAAGTATTAAAAGTAAAGGCCCTACTTTACAGGGAAATTTACTTTACAGGGAAATATTATAGCTGGCAATTTGTATGTTGGAGCCCGAGAGATAGTGCTGCAGTTAGGGCACTGGCATTGCATGCTGCCAACCGGGGTTTCATCCCTGGCAGCTCAAATGATCCCCTGAGCACAGAGCCAAGACTAAGCTCTGAGCACCAGCAGGTGTGGCGCAAAAACAAAACTAACAAAAAATTTTATGTATCGATTCAAAAAACAACTAATCTGAATACATATGCTTTTGTTTTTTAAAAAATATATATATTATTAAGGTAACTGCTTCTGAAGCATGAAAATGTTTATACTTTCTAAGGGTGGAATGTTAACATTCCGGCACTCTCTACTGAAGTACCGTTACCTGGCCAGCGCAGCCCAGGGGGCCTCTTTGTATCCCTTTGCATTATTACTTGAGACATAACACAAGAATTCTGTTGATCATGATAAATACAGGGAATTCAGGAGGAGGAAAGTTACTGACTTACAAAGATTGACCATTTCCAGCATGCCATTCCTTGTGGCTTTATTTCAAGCTCCTCTACGCTGCCTTGTTTGCATGTGGACCACTCACAGTTCTTGTATCTGTTCCCTTGGAAGACACTAATTAGGAAAAAGCTTGTTGGACGTCTCGAGCATCTGAACATTGTCCATATGCTTCTCATGATAAGAGGCAGGACTTCTGCTTATTAAGTGAAGCTTCTGGGTTGTTTTTCATTTCTGCTTTTCTTCTCTGACGAGTTTTCCAACAATGAGCCTTCAAGTGACTCAGTTGTACAGAACAGCACCAATTAAGCAGTGGACATCTGCCTAATGCTGCCAAGAGTTTAGCAGTTTGAAGAAGGGGAATTAATTAGTCTGGCTGTCTTTGGCTTCAACACTCTCTCCTGTTATAAATCATGCAGAGTGTGTCCTTTGGAGATTTCTCCAACCATACCGCTTGCGAATGTGCTGGTCTGGCTCCAGTTGCTGTTCACATCTGTCCACCCAAACAGTGTATCTGCCCCCAAAGCAGGTTGTCCTTCAAGGCCAGCCTTATTTTAGGGGATATCCTGGGTTCTCAGACAAAGAGCTTGGCATTTAGGCAGTGCTCTGTAATTATTTGTCGGTTGGAATGAATCGTCAAGAATTTGCAGCAGAAGTAGATCATTTCTTGCCGTTTGAAACAGGGCTCGTCGTTTGAGTTATGAAAAAGCAAATGTATGTGAAAAGATGAAAAAGTTGTATTGTTAGTTTATTGCTAGCAAAGGGCCTGGTGCGCAGCAGGCCCTCATAAATGTTTATTAAATTAATCCATTACGTTCTGTCAAGTTGCTCTGCTTACCATTACTGCTACTTCCATTAACATATGAACTTGAGTCCCAGGAGACTTAATCAAAATAATAAAGGTCAAATAAGTAAGAATGATAAATTAGCATCTAATGGCTATCATGGTTTTCATCTGGACTTAACCTTTTTTTCCTGCAGGAGATTTTGGTGTGTGGCCACTCCTTGGAAGTGAATGTAACCACGAACCTGGACTTCTTCCTCAGCGTGGCCCAAGTTCAGCTCTTGCATCAGTTAATAGTAGCAAATCTGACGGGCCTGGAGCCAGCCAGCCAGACCACAGAGGTAACTGTCACCTGATCTTGGTAATGTGTCTCTGCCTTTACAGGAGAATGGGGAACTCTGACTCAGTGATCTCTGCTCGTTGCTCTTTATTGAATTTCCTTCAAAGTCGAGTCATAAGTAATGTTCAGTTGGTGTTGTTTTGTTTTTGAAATGCGTTTGGTCTGTCCTGTTCTTTTTCATGCACCTTTAGCAGCACTGTCATGGCCTCACCTCGGAGAAGCCTCTGCCCCCAAAAGATGAATTATTACCCGGCTACAGTTTGTTCGGTACAAGGCAAGAAACTCTGTGTCATGTTCTCTTGCTCGGGTACAGGACAGGCATAGGGCCCCTCTTGGAAGTGAAGTTTGCAAGAGGGCTATGGGGATCTCTTTAGTATATGACTTCTAGACTTTTCTCTCCCATGCTCAGTATGGACACAATCATAAAAGTTGAACGCATGCCTAGAATTTTCATTTTGATCCAGTGTTCTTTGGAAGCCGGCTTTGTAACCACAAAGTATGTCAGCAGGGAAGAAAGCAAGCTGCTAGTTAGATGCTTCTCCAGGTATCTTTTCTTTGCCCTTTGTTCTCATACTTCTGTAATTATATCTGTGTTTTAAGTTTTAATAGAAAAACTCAGGTGAAGAAAGCATTTTTCCATAAAGAAGACGCTGCTGTTAAACTTGTCAGGAGCCTTGGAAAGGCTCTGAGTTTTGCTTATCCGGGGGACGGGAAAGTCAGAGGGTTTTCTGGAAGCCCAAGGTAGCTAGGCCCTGGGCCCGGGAATGTCTGAAAGTGAGCTCAGGTTTCTTCCTCCCTGTCTCGTTGCTGCCACCTGGGAGATGGGTGTGTTCTTACGGTCCGGGTCAGTGGCACCTACCTGTGCATACCAGGACTCGCCAGCTCACGCCTTCCAGCGGAGGCCTCTTCAGCCTCTCAGAGTGCATGTAACTTCAGTTTATCTCTTGTTCTGTTTCTGCTCTAAGAACTATTTTATAGCGGTAACGTTCTAAACGTCTTAAAGTTAAGTTTCTCAAAGTGGGTCATTTTGCTTTTCTCTGTTTATGATTCTGTTTGCTTGTTGGATTTTTTAAAAGAACCATAGTTCTGTGCTAGCTTAGGAATAGAATTATGTGACAGGGAGATAAACCTCTGGGGTGAGGCCGGGCGGCCCTGCTGGTGGTGCTCCAGGGCTACACCTGCCCTGTGCTCAGGGCTCTCTCCTCACGTGCTCTCGGACCATAGCCATCTCCTTGAGAAAACCAAGGCCAGTTCCCTGCTCGGCCAGCTCCTTAACCCCAGTACTCTTCGCCCAACCCTAAAATAACCATCTTAGTGTGTTAAACATTAAATAAACAGAAGTATTTCCCCATGGCATGGTTGCCTAATGCCTTTGGAGTGATTCTAGAACAGTATTTTAATTCCTCTTTTTTTGTGTGTGTAACCTTAATGAATCTCTCTCATTAGTGAGATCTGTTTCATGATGGATCTTTTTCAGGGGCTGGAGCAATGGCACAGCAGGTAGTGCATTTGCCTTGCACGCAGCCGAGCCGGGTTCGATTCCCAGCATCCTTTGTGGTCCCCTGAGCACGGCCAAGGGTAATTCCTGAGTGCAGAGCCAGGAGTAACCCCCATGCATCACCAGGCGTGACCCAAAAAGCAAAGAATAAAAATAAATAAATAAATAAAATCTAAAATCATATCCCTCATATGATAGAAATGAGTGAGGCTCTTTTAGTTTATTTTTGCTGCTTTAATATGTATTTGTGGCCTTTCGTTCCTTCTTGAAAATACTAACATCCCAGACAACATAGTAATTAAAATGGTAAGTTTTATAGGTGTTTTCCCATGAAAATGTGGCTTTGTGAGGGAGTACAGTTTGACCCTATCCAGCCTCTCCGGGTTAGATGTGGAAATTTCTAGCATTTGAGAGCTTGGGCGGGGATGGCGCAGGGGGCCGGAGCACACGTGCTGCCTAAGGGAACCTCCGGTTCCATCCTCCAGGGCAACACATGGTTCCCCAAATGCTACAGGGTTAACCCCCAATTGTTTTTTATTGATAAGGAATAAATTATTAATTAGATGTATGTCTGATGGCTTAAGCATAGACCTTAACTGTGAATAGAGCCTTTAAACATAAGGCTCTGCTAAATTCACAGTGTATGTGTGAAGGACTGGTGTCCTTAAAATGTCCACACTGTGATATTTATCTTTCATTTAAAGTAATCTTTTGGGGTTTGAGAGGGTCAACCTTGGCAGTGCTCAGGGACTTTCACCAGCTCAGGGGTCTGTGCTGATCCCTCAAACCCAGGACTTGGGTTCAAACCCAGGGCTCCCAATGCGAAGCACATGCTCCATTCAACTTTGCACAAGCTCCATGGCCCTGTCTTTGTCTTTAAAGAATTCTCGACCAGAGTTATATTTTTAAGACTTTGTTTTCCCCAAGTAATTCTGGGTTTTATATTTTAAAAATGTTGAAAGCCGGGTACTGAAATTTCTGAGAGGATCCCTGATCCTGCTGGGGCAGAGCTGTTTATCACTATCCCTCACCAGAATGATGCATTTGAAAATAGATATTAAAGAGCTGTGATTTACAAAATCATTGATAGTTGCGTTGTAGCCAGCGTCAGCTTCCCGCCACCAGTGTTCCCAAACTCCCTCCCCACCCCGACCCCCACCCCGTCTCTGCCTGTCAGCTTGACAGGTGCATGACGGAGTCCCAGTGGCTGCAGCCCAGGTCTCATGTCTCCAGTTCTGTGAAGTTCCTTTTCAACCATTGCTTCCCATTTTCTTCTTCCTCCTGGATTTCTTTCCTTCTCTGTACTCTCCAAACACTGGGATAAAGGGTGATGTAGACAAGAGTGATGCATTTTTTTAAGTCAAGGATGAGCTGGCTTTGATACCTCATGTTGTCCGAATCCAGAGTTTCCCTTGGGATTTGTTCTTAGTGTCATATGTTGGCAAGTGTGGACTAGCCTCTAATGATGTACCACTCAGTACAGTAGCTGGTGGGTTTTCTCTGCCCTAAACTCTTGCCCCAGCTCCCCACCCCCGCCCGGACCACCTCTGATTTTTCTGCCTCCATGGTCATGCTTCTGCCAGCATGTCAGGTAGTAGCAGGCATCCAGTATCTACCCTGTAGGCTGGACTTCTTTCACTTAGTAATCTGTGCTGAAGATCCCTCTATGTCTTTATGTCCCAAAATAACAGTAGCTCTGTTACAAAATATTTTATTCAAAGAAGTTAGCTTTCATGAAAGGGCAAGGCTTGTGTGTAGATTTTTTTTTTTTACATAATGTCAGAATGTTCATGCAGCATTCATTAAGAGACTAACTTTGTCCGTTGTGTTCCCTTTGCTCTTTCGTGAAACAATCAGCTGAATATAGTCATGGGGCCTATTTTGGGCCCAGTCCTGTTTTACATTCTTTTATTTGGCTCTTCTTTAGCCAATCTCTCTCTCTCTCTCTCTCTCTCTCTCTCTCTCTCTCTCTCTCCTCTCTCTCTCCTCTCTCTCTCCTCTCTCCTCTTTCTTCTCTCTCTCCCAGCACTTGGAATCAGTTCATTAGTATCTGTGCAGTAATGCATTTCATTTTGACTGAGATTGAGTTGAATCCATAGATCACTTTGATAAGAAATGACATCTTGACAATATTGAGTCGTCCTGACTCTTCCTGTCCAGGAACCTGGACTGTCTCTCCACTTACAATCTTACTTGACTTGTGGTAAAGTTATGTCCTCATCAGCCCTTCTAAGATGAAAATACTTTAAGTTAAGAATACTTTTATGGGGGCCTGAGTGTAGTACATGGGTTGTGGCACACGCCTTGCTTGCCGCCATAATGCTGACACCACTGGAACCCGCAAGTGTCATAGAGGTCCCTGAGCACTGGCAGGATGGCCCAGGGAATCCCCAGTGTCATGGGGCCCTCACGTGGAGCCACGGCCTCGTGAACCAAGGATTGTGGGAATGGGCACTGCACAGGTGGCCCCTGTTTCCCCAAAGTACATCATACATTACCCCTGCCTGTTTAAACTCCCCAGTTAGATGAGACCCTCTAATGCAGAACCTCTTGGATCCTGAAGCATTGTCTTTTCTGGCCACTGTGCCGACAACGGTCACTCTCATAGTGGTGGCCCCAGGACCACTGCTCCCTGCCGCCGTCCGCGTTCCCAAAGAGGACCCGGCTGCAGGTGGCTAGTCGGCATTTGAGTTCGGCTCTGACAGTAATCTCTCACATCCCCAGATGCTGCCCAGGCCTCAGATGGCCACTGTAAGCTGGCACTGTTGCTGGTCAGTTTTTTGAGTTCATTCACCCAAGTTTTGTAGTTTGTCTTTTCTAGACGTTGTACACATTTTGATTTATTCCTAACTAACTTTTTGGTGTGCTGATGTAAATTATAATATTTAAAATTTCTGATTCCACGTGTTCACTGTTGGTATATGGGAAAGCAGATGACTCGCGATGCTATCCAGTTACGAGTTCTAGTTTTCATGTCCACTCTTTCTGTTATTCTTAGACAGTCATGCTATCTGTGAAGATATGATGTGATGTCTTAAATGGCACTTTGTGTACTTTTCTTCGCATTTTTTACCTTTTGCACAATTATGCATCACTTCACAATTTTTTTTTTTTTGAGAAATTCACTATTGGGTTTTCTGGCATTGTGCTAACATCGTGGAGTGTGTTTACAAAACCCGAGTGATGCCACCTTCTGCACAGCCAGGCTTTCTGCTGGGGCCACCATCTGCTGGCTGTTACTGGAAAGACCTCATGGTGCTCAGGGCTGCCTCAGTGAGGACCTTCCTGAGCAGGCGGAAAAGGTGGCTCAACGCACTTTGCCCCGTGCCTCCTCTTAGCGGGATAAAGAGCCTTTGCAGAAAATTTAAAGGTGCTCGTGATTCAGACTGAGAATGGAAGAGCTGAGTAATCAGTCTCACATCTGCCAAAATCATGAATAATAAAGCTCAGACGCAAAGACTCATCTGTTAATTTGACATGATTAGTTTTTTAGAATGTCATAT